CGCCCAGTTGTGCTCGGGGGGCCTGGTGCTTGTCTAGCAGACACGCTCCCCGCCACGCCACCGTCTCACCACCAGCCACCTGCCTCCAGGACCCCGCCTGAACTTTACCTCCCTCACTTGGATTGGGATAAGCTGCTCCACGTAATAGGAAACCCCATTTAATAGGGTTTGACCCCCGTCAGATGGATGCTTTGTATAGCAAATGTCGATGGGCCTGGGCCCCTTCACTGTCTTTGCTCCGCCAACGCTAGTGTCTGCGCTTTATCCTCAGGTCACCGCATGGCTCAGATGGCCAATGGGACCCCAGGCATCACAGTCTTGTGCCCGGCCTGGTCTCAGCGGGGCCCATAACCATTAAGCAGTCTTCCTGACTCTCACGGAAACTTCTGCTATGTCTCATTGGCGAAGACGAGTCACATGGCCATCCTACCTGAGGAAGGTAGGAAACCTAGTCTCCTCAACTAACACATCTCCACGTAAAACTCAATCTAAGTTCCGTCACTAAGGGAGGAAAGAGTGAATTTGGGGTCTGCCATGACCCCTCTAGTCTATTCTCCACCCAGCACAGTAGGCATAGTACCTGGCGCATACTAGGCACTCATTAAAATGTGTCCTATACATGAAAGAATGAATGCACGCTAACCGGACCCTTCCTGCCACGGCATGCAAGCTGGAAGGTGCCCTCTGAGCGCCTCCTGCATACCGTCCAGCTGCACCTGAGGCCCTGCTCACCTGCAGACAGCCCTGCAGGCTGTGGGCACCAAGCTTCTCCTGACCACAAGCTGGCCTCTGGAGCAGCTGCAGGTGACGGTCATCCCCAACTGGGGAAGCCCCTGGGGGAGGGAAGAAGTCCAAGAGCAGATTCCCAGAAGGGAGAAGGCTCGACTGGGTCCCAGAGCTGCAAGAACTATCAGCACGCAAGCCTGCTTTGGCATCGCCCATCTTCCAAAAAGACCCTCCCAGGAGTCTGCCGCCTCCTCATTATAAACACTCCTGAGACTGCCCTTCCTCCCGTTCTTCCCTCTTCACTCCATTTCTTTGCAAGCCCCTCCCCCTGTACTGGCTTCTAAATAGTGGGGTTCCTCAGCCCCAGGCCCCAGGCCCCCTTCCCGTCCCCCAACCATGTCCAGAGTGAAATGCCACCTGGATGCTGATGAGCCCAGATTTCCATACGCGGCTAAGCCCCCCTCTGAACTCCAGCACCCAATATCCACTCAGTCAGCACCCTGGCCTCTCCACTCCATTCCAACCCCTTCTCAATTTAAACTATTATTGTCAAAAATAATAATCATAACCCTAGTCTTCCCCCAACTCACTCAGGAACCACTGCCTATTCCATTGGCCGGCCAAGACATCTGTAGCTGCCTCACTTCCCTCTTTCTCTTTCGTGACTAATTAATCAGTAATCCCAGGGATGGTCCAGGCTGTCCCTGGTCCCAGTGCAAGTATCACTCAGACCCTTCACTCTCAAAGGTGTCTCAACTGGCATCCTCCCCACGCACAGCAGGCCTGGCACGCGACTGGCATGCTCTCCACTGAGCTGCCCGAGAGCAGAGACGATGCCCCATCCATACGTGTTTCTGTTGCCAGCGTCCCCCGCAGCGAGCGGCACATAAACAAACATTGGTCCGATCGAAGAATGACAGTGAGAATAGCCTGGCATGAGGTCAGGAACAAGCTAGAGAACTAGGTGACCGTTCTCCGCCCATGAGCCAGCCGTCCCCTCTTTGCAAGAAGAGAGGGTCTCTGTGGTCTGTGGACCGCCCAGCCTGACAAGGGGCCTTACTCGAGTCCCATGCCACCTTACCTTCGCACGTGCGATTCAGCTCCTGGGGAGACGAGGCCGGCGCCTCTGGGCGGCGGACGCACTGGTGCGAGCCCTCCGCGTTTAAGCACAGCTCCCTTTCCGAGCAGGCGTGGAGTTCCGCGTAGAAGCACTCATTCACGTCTGTCGAAGAGAAGAAGAGGTGAGTTGTGACCGCCTGGTCATTCTCATCAACCTCCACATGTGTGTCCTAGGAGCGGAGGATGTGGACAGGGCAGCGGGCCCCAGGGCCTCTTGGAGCCCCGTCTCAGAGAGCCCGAGAGCAGCTGGCCCTCGTCCCGGGACACCAGCGATGTGCGCCCGGGTGGCTGTGGCTGCCTGAGCCCGTCGCTTTGGGGCTGTATTAAAGTGTCATAAAATGATGGGTCCAAACATCCTACTGGAAAATTAAGCTGGGGGATGGGCACCTTTCCGGACTGAGAAAAAGCAGGGAGCCCCTAACATTCAGAAGTGGCCTGTCACTTACAGCCAGGCCCTGTCACTCTCCTATGGACAGAAACAATGTCACAGAACACACAAGGCTATTCCCCAACTGGGATAAAGTGAGACAGAGCTAAGCCACTGCACGATTTTACCGAAGCCAGGCAGAAAGAAGACCACTGTGTCACCCACGAAATATCACCCCACCTTGGGCAAAATGAGTGACTCGGTTTTTTTTAGCAATTATAGCTTTTCTTCAGGCTAGTTTGCCCTTCTCCATAAGTAAGATTTGTTGACATGCTCAATCATAGAATCCCCACTTTCTTTTTTTCCAGAAACCATTTCATTTATTTATTTTCTTAATAGATCAGCTGTATATTTTTTTTCATGTAACGAAGAAATGAAATTTAGTATACAATTTCTCATTGTAAGAATCCCCACTTTCTGACAGCATCCACTCTACAACAAAGCCCTGGATCAAAGCTCCACCCCCCAAACCACCCAGAGCCCATNATTTCTCATTGTAAGAATCCCCACTTTCTGACAGCATCCACTCTACAACAAAGCCCTGGATCAAAGCTCCACCCCCCCAAACCACCCAAAGCCCACGTCCCATAGCAGACTCCCCACCTGCCTCCTCCTGCCCACCCGGTGGTGTGCCCTCTCGCCCTGCCTCCAGCGCTGACCCCAATCTCTTCACCTACAGGCACGGTCCTGTGGTCTCTGGCCAGCGGCTTTCACAGGCATGTCTCAGACCAGACAGGCATGTCTCTTATTGGCGTTACTGCGTTTGGTCCTCAAGCACATCTGTGGCTTTTCAGGGGAATTAAGGACCCAGAGCCTGGCATCATTGTATGTGACCTTCACAGTCCTAGAAGGAGCTTCACAGCAGGAGCAGCCACCCTCCCAGGGGAGCAGGGAACTCAGTCAGCTGCCTCCTGTCCTGGGAGCTGTCCGCTCACACCCTGCCCATGGCTCCTTCCACGTCACACGGTAGCTGAGCACCGAGACAGAGGCCATGCAGGCTGAAACCCAAAGTATTTACTGTCTGACGCGTTTCAGAAAATGTTTGCTAACCCCTGATGTAAACAAAGGGAGGG